TATATATATTTTTTTAAAGCCAGAGATCGCCCGCGCAGATGAAAAACGGTGGAGAAAAGCACATCGGAACCGGGAGAGGAAACTGAAGACTACTTAGAAGCGGTTGACAGGTAAAACACTTCAGTTCCGTTTCCTAAACGGGACAGAAGTGTTTGTGTTGGAAATTACAAATATATTCCGGTAGGGAACCGGTTCTAAAACGGTTCTGTCTGAAATGAAAGACCAGAAACCGTTTGGGAACCGTTCCTCTTCCGGATTATATCGTCTGTCTGAAATTCCTCAGTGTTATACAAATCCCATTACTTGTTTCCACAATCTTCACTGGACAATCAACAGTAGGGCTAGCCAGGTCTCCTGATCTAACAGATTTCCGTTCCAGCAGCCTCTATCCCACCACCACCCAGTAGGGCAGTGGGGTATGATTGGCTGAAGAAAAACCCAGAAGTGATGTTATCACATCGGGGTGATGTTCTAGGATTCCACCAAAACTCTGACGGGAATCCTTGAGTGTCATCCTGGCAAGATGATATCACTTCTGGGATTGTTCCCAGTCTCATTGTGACATCAGTGCAATGCTGTTTTACAGGTCATGGCCCCATAAAAGCTCCATCCAGTTACCAGTGCTGGACTGACAACGATAACCAACAGGAGTCTTGTGACACCTGAAAGACCCTGGTGTTTTAGCATAAGCTTTTCATGGACAGGGGAGCTGCGGTGGCTCAAGTGGTTAAGATGCTGAACTGCAGGCTGTGGAAGGTCAGTAGTTCAGCACTTCGAGCCCCGGGTGCCGCATGACGGAGTGAGCTCCCGTCTCTAGTTCCCGCTCCTGCCAACCTAGCAGTTCGAAAGCAAGAAATTGCAAGTAGATAAATAGGGACCACTTTGGTGGGAAGGTAACAGCATTCCGTGCACCTTGGTGTTTAGTCATGCCTGCCACATGACCACAGAAACGTCTTCGGACAGCGCTGGCTCTTTGGCTTTGAAACGGAGATGAGCACCACAACCCTAGAGTCGAATTCAACTGGCTTTCAAGCAAGGGAACCTTTACCTTTACCTTTCATGGACAGAGGCTCAGTTTGCTGGAGTCAAGTGATGAGGGAGACCCTATTCATTTATTTATTTAAACAGCAGGGTCAAAGAGCCATGAAATGCAGGAAGAAATGTATCCCTTAATAACTTCACAGATAAATTCTTGCCTAGTGATAATCTACTAAATGCATCTTACAAAGTGGGAGAGCACTTACAGTCGAATGAAAATATGTTGGTCTTGAAGGTGGTACAAGACTCCTGTTTATTCTTCCTGCAACAGGTTATTCCTAAGGAATCAGACAAGTGGGGATGCTAACTGAGAACCCACCTGCCCCCCCCCAACTTAAATATGACTTGGCATCCTGGCTGGCTGCCACCCCACCCAGCACGCTGTATTTCTTTCAACTCCAGTTGTTCTCATACCAGTTTTCAGCACACACACTTTCTTTGTAGCAGCAATTTAAAAAACCCATTCCCTAAACGCAGTAGAATGAAAAGTCAAAGCAAAGGCACGTTGCCAGGAATAAGCAGTAAAGGTTTATGGCAACTGGGGTGCTTTGCAGAAAGCAAGGTGTTACCACATGCTCACTGTAAGGGATTAAATGTTTTAGGTGTCCTTGCAGTGTGCTATTATTTCAGTGGATATACCGCTTGTCCAATTAATACGTGAAGGTTTCGAGTTGCAATAAGGAGAACTTCCAAGGCAATCTGTTTAAAGAAACCACTGCAGTAAATAAGCTAGAAGATGTGCAGCTGTGCAGGACCACAAACAAACAAATCATTTCAAGAAAGACAGAGGCGCACAAATAGCAGCTTTCAATAGCGTTACTCAGTGGCTTGGGAAGCCTCTATGTGGGCGTAAAGTTCGTGGGGGCGGCGGAAATTTTCAGGAAGGTGCTCAGCCTCCCCCGGGGGCAACTGATTCCAGCCACCCTTGCCCAGCCCCAGCCCCCCCTGGGAAATTGGAAACTCTACACCCGCATGTTCCAAGACAGCGAGCAAGGCCACTGTGCTGGGCAGGTGCTCCCCGCCTTCAGACAGCTGCTGCTGCAAGGACTGGAAGTAGGCAGCCAGCATCCACAGACTGTGGACCTCTGATGGAGATAAGCGGCCAATTCTCTCCAGTGCCCCACAGCCTCTGCTTTTTCAGCTGCAAACTGGCCACAGAGAGAAGAAAGTGCGGCCACCACAGCAGTAGGCTTGCCAAGCCCCCGCTGGGGTCGGGTGGTAAATTCCCGCCCGGGAGGCCCGTTACCCGCCGCCGGCGGATCGGGCTCCGGGGGGAACTCCATCCCCTGCCGGAGGGCATCCCCAGCGTGGTGATGTCACCTGGAGGTGACATCATCACGTTGGCCACGTTGTGGGGGGGGAGACACTCTGTGAATCGAGGGATTGACAGCCTGGCTGCATAACTCCTTGGCAGCATTTCTGAAGCAGATGAAAACTTTCCATTTTTGGAAAATCTTTACCTCTTCTCCCTGTGCTCTGCTTATTGTAACCAAAATGACTGTTTTTTTATTGTTGTACGTGGTGGTTTTACTCACCAGAATGAAAGGCAATTTTTAAACGCTGATTATTGTTGCAGTTTTAGTCTACAGAGAGTATGGGCTGTAAACCGCTTTGCATATGCAAGGGGAAAGAAAAGCACTGTAACAGTATTTTCATAACATGCTAACAAACAGCTGACAATAATTGCTTTGAAATAACATAAGTGAAGGGAATGAAACCACCCGTCAGTCAGAACACGGACTAAGATGTAATGAATTGTTTATGCATTTGGAACAAAAACGTGAACAATTATTAATACTCCCCTGGAGCCAGGCCAAGTAGAGCATTAGCACCCTTTATTATTAAATTAATAACTAGATCAGTGTATTTAATTCATCTGAATCACTCTGGTCCCAGCTGAGCTTAGCATCTTAAATTTGGTGTTAAGCACAAGGGTCGTGATCCATTGTCTCATTTTTATTTACTCAGTCGCAGGATGAGTAAAGACATCACCCTGCCAACAAAAGTCCGCATGGTCAAAGCAATGGTATTCCCAGTAGTCACGTATGGCTGCGAGAGTTGGACTATAAGGAAGGCCGAGCGCCGAAGAATAGATTCTTTTGAACTATGGTGCTGGAGAAGACGCTTGAGAGTCCCTTGGACTGCAAGGAGATCAAATCAGTCAATCCTCAAAAGAAATCAACCCTGACTGTTCCCTGGAAGGCCAGATAATGAAACTGAAGCTCAAATACTTTGGCCACCAAATGAGAAGGGAGCACTCACTGGAGAAGAAGACCCTGATGCTGGGAAAGATTGAAGGTCAAAGAAGATGAGGACGGCAAAGGGTGAGATGGTTAGACAGTCTCATAGATGCAACAAACATGAAATTGAGCAAACTTCAGAGGACGGCAGAAGACAGGAGGGCCTGGCGTGATCTGGTCCATGGGGTCGCGAAGAGTCGGACTCGACTGTGCGACTGAGCAACAACAACAAGGATGAGAAGCAGGTGAACAGGGAGACGAACAGAAGGCATCTGCCTGACTCTTTTCTTTACTGCTTTCCCAGTTTCAATGTGCTGTCCAAACACAAAGAGATCTGTTCTCTAAACAGTTTCTGTGTTTTGAACCATTGTGTTTTGAACGACTTTAATATTTTTATTGTGTTGGGTACTGGCTGATTTCAGACAGAACATCAAACCAAGGTTAAGTAACCCAGCTCAGCTACGTACAGCAAGCATGGTGTGGTGGTTACAGCTGTAAGACTAGGATCTGGGAGCCCCAGTTCGAATCCACACTCATGTCATTGAAGCTTGCTGGGTGGCCTTGGGCCAGTCACGCTCTCTCAGCCTAATCTACCTCACAGAGTTGTTGTTATGGGAATAAAACAGAGGAGGGGATAACGATGCTGTGAATTGCTTTGGGTCCCCATTTAGGAGGAAAAAAGCACGAAGAAATATATAAATCCATTGCAAACTATGGTTTGAAATCAACCAGAGAATCAAAACCAGAAACCGCAGTTCGCAAAAAAGAGGACGCAAACCATAGCTTGTGTAGAGAGCTCAAGGTATGGAAAACTCCCAGAACACTCCAGGAAAAATGAGCTTCTTTCTCTAAGGAGCTTTTTAAATGTTTCAAAAAGAAAATAAAAATTAAAGTTTGAGGAGCACTGAGTAAAAATGCCTATGAAATAATTTCTCTTTTAGAATGAGCAAAATCCTTTTTAAGTCTCTGCGCTACTTATGCAGAACGTGGCCACAGTCTACATCATTACATAATGATTATCCCAGTGCATACCACAAACAATAAATATATTACTTACACTATTGCATAAATGTGACAAATTTTATTCCCGGTTAATATGCTATAATGTGTACGATGATAACGCACCGTTGAATAGGTCAGTAGTTTCAGTGTCATAAAGTACAGCTTGACATTCAAATAGGATGCCCGTCCTATTGCAACGGCATGAGACTGTGTGCAAACAAGAGTTTATTTTGCTTTCTATAAAATGTGTGTTTTCTATTCTCAACTTAAAAAAAATTCTACATTGGACAGAGAGATCCTAAGTGCGGGGCTGAAAGGGCTCAGGGAGCCAACTGACCTCTGCATCAACGTATGTCCGAGATATGCCCGCACAGGGGCCACTTACAATGGCGCAGGCCCCCAGCAGCAGTCCGTGGCTTGTGGGCAGTTGTGGCCGCCTCTCAGCGCAACTGAGGTGTAGGCCCTGCACCAGTGTGGTAGTGGGTGGGCTTGGGGGCGTGGCCAGAGTAAGTCGGCACCCTGAGCCCTTTCCGCCTGGGAACACCCCCTTCCAGAGGTGGAAAGTTACGCCAGCAAAACACTTGGCGTGGCCCACAGGCGCTCATTGAGACTGAAAATCAAGTTGTCCCCCGCTGCTGCGGCCTCACCCATTAGGCTCGGAGCAGCTCAGGATGTCGACTAAAGGCTCGGCCAATCACCTAGGCCACGGCGGCCAAGCCTCCTCCCCAGCACCCAATTTGGCCTCCCTTCCCCTACAAATACCTCCACCAGGACATCTTACAGCTCAGTAGTTAGGGCACGCGGCACAGGACTCTGTCTCAGAGCTCCCTGCTGTGCAGACTCTTAGCGTGGGTGGCAAAGCCCTTGGGTGGTGGCAGGAGCACAGAGAGGGCACTTGCCACTGCAGGGCAAACACTTGGCACCGACACCCAAGGAGGTGGGCAAAGTCCGTCCTCTATGACTGCCCTCTTCCATTTCAGAGCGCTCACAGGTTCCCCACTTTGGAGGCTCAACCCACTGACAGGTGAGCAAGGGCAAGGATCCCAAACTTGCTCCCCCTCTCCCCTTGCTTGGGCCTGGGGGCTGTGGCAGCACCTCCTGCACTCAAGCCCGGCATGGAGTTCAGGCGCGGGGGTGGCACAAGCTGCAGCCGTGCAGTGCCACGGTCCCTGATATGCCACGGGGAAAGTTCTCAGGGAGATCCAGGGTGGGAGGGGGATGCGCCGTCATTTGCTCAGTTCCCACCCTCGGCAGAGCACCGGGCATGTCTGTGGTTTGGGGGGGGGGTCCTGGCAGCTGCTCCACTGCACGGGGTGACCCAGCTTCGCGAGCATCCCCTCAGCTCACTCCCTTGCAGAGTCAGAGGCTTGAGCTGTGGCGGAAGGACTGCAAACAGGCCGAGAGCTCTTCGGCACAGGACAGGTGGGTGGGAGTTGGCTGGTTCCATCACGTGCCTCGAGGGGGGGGGGGTTGTGGCGACCCTCCCATGGAGGTGCATTTGCAGAGCCTGCCCGGACAAGGCATCCATGGCTGAGAGTGGTCTGGCCCTCGCACCCGGTCCCCATGGCTCTGTTTTTCTGTCTTGAAGGTGGAGATTCAACAGAGGGACTTGTGGGTGTGGCCAAGTCCCCAGGCCCGTAGCTATCCAGGGGGCCCCTGCAGTTTTTCTGGGCCCCCTCCCCCCCCAATCGATGGTCTTGTCGCTGGCATTTTGCTGGCTTGCTGGGAAGGGAGGGGATGACAAATACAGAAGAAAAAGGAGCGGACGGAGCCAGTCCCCACCCAGGCTCAGACCATTGGCTGCCTACAGTGGGCGGGCTCTAAGCAAAGAGCCGCGCCAAACAAAAGTTAAACCACTGCTACTTCCTCCTCGTCTTCCTCCAACTCCGGGAAACTGCAGCAGCAGAGGCTGCAGAGCAGCCTTCCTCTCTGTCCTCCTGCACAGCCCCGCGCCGTAGCTCCGCCTCCTCTCCTCCTTCTGGACCGCAGACCGGCTTCTGTCTGCCCTTCAGCAGCTCAGCAGCCTCGGAGGAGTCTTCCTGTGTGACGTCCACCCGCTCCTCTGCTCCGGTGGTCGTAGTCCAGCTGAAGCAGCTGCAGGCTGGGGCATGCCCTGAGCAGCCTCCAAACTTGCACAGCTGCGAAGAGAGGGGGAGGGCAGCGGGCAATAGGGGGCCGGCGGCAACTCTCTGCTGGCTGGGGCAGTCCATGAGCATCCTCCCCCCACCCCACCCTGCATTCTCCAAGAATGAAAGCCAGGAACACCATTGCAATCCATGGGCTCCGTTGGAATACACAAGCAGAGTTGCAAAGAAAATGCGGAATGGATTTTCCATTAAGGTCTCCGGAATGACAGCCCCTAGAGTGGAATGACAGCCCCTGGGAGTAGCAGGAGTGTTATGGAATGACAGCCCTTGGGAACAGAATCTGAGTGCTGGGACTGGACTGCCCCGCCCCCTGTGGGCTTCCCAAGGGCATGTCTCAGAGGGAGGGGCTCTTGGGTGCTGTGGGTGGCTGGGGAGGGCTGTGCGGGCCCCACTGGTTGTAACCTGCCATACATAGCAGGGACCCAGGTGCACAGGCAGGTCCCTCGCTCACCTCACAGGCTTCTGTGTGAAGGGGGTGGCATGGGTGAATAAGCCAGCTTATCGCGGCGGTGAGAGTGTCAGGCTGGACCTAGGAGATCTGAATTCTGATCTAATCGGAAGCTCGGTGGGTGGCCTTGGCCCAGATGCACACGCTCAGCCTGACCAACCTCACAGGGCTGTTGTGTACATGAAACGAAGGAGAGGAGAATGGTGCAAGCCACCGGTGGGGGGAAGGGTTGCTAAAAA